TTCTCGATACAAAATATATTCAATGTATATGTGTACATGTACATTCAGTACTGTGACAGAGGTTGCGCTGTTCTTTTAACGTTCACCTGTGTTCTTTTTCTGAACGACAATTCTCATCTTTCAAGTCATTCTCCACGAATTCTTCTATTCAAGCTTTTACGTGTTCCAATTAATTCTTTTGTACAAAAAAAAAAGGAAAATCAATTTCAATTCGAAGTGCCCGCCATTTTGCACGAAATACAGTGGGCGATCAAAATTATTAGAGTAACCTGTATAAGTTCACGATTTTACTTGTATTTTTTATAATTACATAAGTTAAGTTTAATTTTTTGGTGTATTTTTAATGGATAGTCGTTTATTACAAATTATCCAATATAAAAACCTTGATATTGTAATTTTATTTGTGCATAACACAAACAAATATTGACTTTAATAATTTGGTCATCCACTGTAAGTAAGTACATTTGAAAATGGGCTATGACAAAGATTTATTCAACTATTTCAAAGATATTTCACTGTGTTCCACTTTAAACAGATGGTATGGCAATTAAATAGTACTAAAAAAAAAACTACCCCATTTTCTCGAGCATCATATTCGGTTCCGAATAAACCAAAAAATTTGGATCTGATGAAAGTTTTGTCCTTTGTTGTATTTTACAGACCCCTACAGGCTACAAATGCATAAAATCCGCAGTCTAGTTATAACATAGACTCCAAAAACACAGTGATTTCGTATTTTTCAAACCTAATTTGTCTTTGAATTTTCAGACACAAATGTGCATTAAATAGACTTTTTCCAAAATGTTGTACGTCAAAATAATTTCATTCTAACGGCGAGGAATGGATTCTGGATTGTCAGGGTGCCAGGTGGATTGGCGCGGAGGGGCGTCAGGGAAATCCTTCCAGAAAACCGAGGAGTTCTGACAAGTCGATCCCCGTTGGCTGGTCTCCCGTGATGTAACATCACTTAAAAGGGGTCGATGCCCGTGGAGGCGTGTTCCGTGTGACCGACGGGAGAGATAGAATGTCAATAAAGAGCGGCGGAACACGAAAGTTGGGGGAGACGTGAATTTCTCTCGTTTATACATGACGCAGGGAACGGGAAGTCGGCCGAGAGCCGGATCAGACGAAGATCCGCGGTGTTTGGGTAGGACAGGGCTTTCGGCGAAAAGGAAACTGACATTTCGGGGGATAAAAAGAAATTGTAACGCGTGAGTGACGTGAGTCTTGAAGCCTGAAGGGACAACAGCTATACAAATCGTAATATCTTCAATATTGATTTTTAGGTTTCAATCTTTCCGTGTAGTTGTATTTTATAGAGAATCCCTTTTTTTTGGCTTTTTATATTTTTTTATTTAAACTGTCTTACCAGGTTATTAACACTTCGAGTCCATCGGGGGGAATAAAAGTCCCTAGTCCTAAGTTTGACCTGAACTATGATTTTTGAAAACATTTCCACTTTAAAGTCCTTTTTCATTAGTTTAATTTATTTTTTTAAAATGATCAGAAGATCTGCAGTGTTTGGATACTCAGCGAGTACTAAATGCATCTAAATTCTTAGACCCTTTTCCTTGAACACCCTGTATAAATTGAAATCATTCTGCAATTCTATACAGTTTTTAAAAAATATCGTCAAACATATATTCACTTCCACTGAAGATTCGTATGTCATATTATAAGTGCACAAAACCCTGCGCTGTTTATCAGTTTCGAAGACTTTTAATCGGAGGAAGAATGATTCATAAAATGCAGTCGAAATGTCTGTTTTAACGCAACCGACTCGATACACCTAAAATACACGATGCGAATCGCGCGTATGTATGTATCTGTTCGGCCACACCAGCGAGACGCATTTCGACATCGGATCAAACATGGAAAGCAGACTCTGTTTCGCATCGGACAACCCGAGCATATGACTCACAGCTAAAAATTTTTGTTTTCTTTTCATTCTCGATGTATGCACAGCACCGTCGTGTACGGAAAAAAAATGATTCACCGCCGCGGGATTTCGTTGTTCGCTGGTTTCCGCGAGAATGAACCGCCCGGACGACGAGAGACTCATTCATATCTTCCCTCCTCATTTACATTTACATAAATGAATCTTCCTTCACCTTCTCCGTTTGCACGTTTTTCGATTACTCACTACATTATACTGTACAATCGCGGCTTAATTCGTCTTCTGTTCATCTCGAATTTATTAAACTATTGTCTCTTCAACACCTCTTTGTCCTTCGTTTCCGTTCGCCATATTTAAGTAATCGCGTTCGAAGCGAAACCGCGACGGTTATCCGTGCACGATAAATAGTCATGGGAACGGTAAAGAGGCGTGGTTATAAAAATAAATTTAATAAAAATAAAGATTTTCCGTTCGGTCGAATACGGAGCTTTCGTGTTTTATTCGTTTTTAATATTTGTTTTGGAGAAAATGGCGTCCTGACGAGTAGATCAGATAAGAAACGATATCTTTGTTCTGGTTAATGAAATTTATTTCGTAAATGATCATGTGTAAAAGTTATCGATTACGATCATTTCTTCATTCAAGTTTGACGGTTTTTAGAATTGTTCAGTACTTTATTTTATTACTTTGAGGTTATTTTACATTTCACCTTGGTGATTGTCAACGAATGATCATGAATTTTTTCTCCCTTATATGGTTCTTATCGCAGAGGAAATTAGATCAATTGAAAAATTTTTGGCATTTTTTTTTTAAAAGTGTATCTTGTACGGATGGGCAAATATTTATGAACAGTAGATGTATGTTAATATATTTTAAATGGAAAAATTATTGTTGTGTAATCAAATATTTATAACTTGAGTTTCATACTTTCCGTGTATTGTTTACTTGTTTGCTTTTTTTTATGTGTCGAAAGAGGTTGGGCTTGTAGAGGGTTAAGGAAAATTACGTCGGAAACAGTTAAATCCGATGAAACCAGTTATCTTCGTTTACGGTAACTGGCTTTATTCCGCGGATGATCGTGCACACAATTTCCTGTACACGGAAGTCTGCAATATTTCACTCTGTGTACTGCAATTTTATGGTGCAAGGCACTCGTATAATATTTCTGTCACGCGCGCGCAAACGGCTTTAGAAGCAATGCGACCCGCATCATAAACATATTTCTTTTGTTCATTATTTAATGTCAGTTAAATGTATTTCATTCGAATCTTCGATAATGTAAAATAACTTTCAGAAATATGTGATCTGTTTTTAATTCTCATTCTCTGTTTGATTGGTCTCGAGAGGGATGTTTAAACTTGTAGGAATTTTTACTGTGTATAAGCTTTTTTTTTTATTATACTGTGTATAAGCTGTTAAGTTTCGTTTTTATGGTTATTGTTTTATAGAGACTGTTTTGTTTTATTTGACCACACTCAAGGTGTCCTTAGGATTATGAACCATCAACGTCGACAGCTGGGTCAATCGTGACCCACAATATGATATCGATTGCTGTACATACAGTCACTATTATAGATTTTACACATTTAACTAATATTAAAGTCAGTTTTAATCACTATAAACTATGTTCGTGTAAACCGTGATTAATATACTTCAAATTAGGATGCACTCAACTGAGGAATTGTATTTGTTGAAAAAAGTAAAAATATCTTCTGTCCAATTACAATATATTTATTAACCCTCGTACACCGTTTGGACCAGTTTACCAAGAAATCGAATTACAAATTTTAATTATGCTTTAGATTATAAAGGTTCATAAATTAATTTAACGTCAGTACTTAACGTATATTGCAATCTACTAATAGGTGAACATACTTCTCCGATTCGTGTTTCAACTTTGGTTCAATTTAATTTAAGCGGTAGTAAGTAATGGATATTCGAATGGTGCATGAGGGAAAAGTTTTTTGTAGCTTGTATGAAACTTGGATTTATTAAATGGAGTAGTCTGGAAGGATAAGTTGAAGGGTAGTTTATGGTGCTTCTTCGAATAACTAGGTTTCGTGATGGGTTACATGAGATCATCCACAGAGAGCCTTCTGTTCAGCCCAACGTGAGTCGAACATGACAACTTCCGCCCTCAGGTTCTGAAAAGTGGAACGCTGTGACAGTCGGCTAGGGAACAGCTCCAAATAATGGAACCTTTTGTTCCGTCCTATTGTAACGGATTCGACGAAACGTGAAACGTTCACAACAATCTTGATACATACAAATTCGACAACATTCAATAGAAAATTCAATATTTCATTTTACACAAACATTAATTCTTTTTTCTGTTCGGTATTAAATACATTCATAGCTAATTTACAGAAAACTGTAAACTAAAATGTTGTGTATATTCAAACAGTGATTATAATTAGACTATCATACATTCATCAAATATATAAGTGATTACAACGGAACAACAGAAAAATTGAACCGAGACTAACAGAGTAGTTCCTTTACTTTATCTTTGACTTTCTTTGTCTTTATTCCATTCTTTTAGATTAAAGAATCCTGTAATTAGAGAAATCAATATGTCATTGGTTCTGATTTTCGAAAATTTGCATAAGCATCCATAATCTAAAAAAATCGGTTACAGTTTCTGTTACGTCTAAAAAATTAACCTATAAAAATTCAAATTCGCACGAGCAATTCGTACAGTCTAGCCGTAACGGTGACACCGGCGTCGGCTAGCGGATAAAATCGCAATCTCTCCGGTTCAAAATGTACACCTCGCGATACATACATTCGAAAACACGTCTCGCCACTCAGAGTGCTCGACTTCAAAACACGGGGCATAAAAACGAGAGTAAATACGATAAAAAAAATTCGTGAGCCGAGGCAGATAAGCCCCGACGGACTTGTAATTTCGACGACGATCGTCCTCCCCAGGTGTGTTTCCGACGAGCCGCCACCGCAGTGACCTGACAGACCTGTCCCAAGGTGTCAAAGACGGCGGTCCCTTCGTGGCCGTTCGGCCGTTTCCGTGTTCGCTCGGCGTGGCTGGCGCGCGCTCCCGTATGCCGTATGATGCACGGCGCTTCAGTGTTCGTTGCGACTCCGTGATAGAGGGACGTGTTCCCTGCGGTGTCTGGCTTGCTCGTGACCGCGTCGTAACCAGAAAACGCGCACGCGAAGTGAGAGAACGCCCCTAGTAAGCCCGTTTGAATAAAACAATTTGCGTGTACTATTCGGTGGAGAATTTACCGACTCGTGTCCACGAGGACTTGACCGATTATTTTGTGCCCCCGCGCATCCGTACCACGGGGACACAGAGGAGGCAAGGAGCCGAAGGGAGAGGACCAGACGCACACGGAGAGGAAGCCAGAAGGGCCACCGCGCAAGAACTGCGGAGAAAGACGAAAGGATTATATATTCGAGCGCAACATGGCCACTGCGATCGACGACCGGCAGGAGTTGCTGGAGCAATTTCAGGCTGTGAGTCCTTCTTGACTTTTTAACTTCCTCGATTTCAGTTCGTGGCCGACGACGTTTGACAGGAACACGCCGTATAAGACCATCTCGTTACTATGGTTTTGCATCGATGTTGCACGCGGCCGTGATACGCGCTACCCCCGGCTTCTTATCGATCGCCGGTTTTATCAGCATGCTTTCGTGGAAACCCACCCTCGTGGAGACTACGCTGGGTGTCGCCGCCCTGCAGTCAGTTTACTCGTTTTTCTTTTTTTATGCCAAGCCTTTTCTGACGACGTTGCTACTCTACCCGTACAATATACAATCGCGTGTACCTTGGCCAAGTGGCCGTTGATTGCGGGTGATTTGTGGACCCGGTTTGACGCGTTTTGAAATTCTTTCGGTTAACCTCTTCACTACGAGAGTCTGGATAAGTGGACTTTTGCTCGGTGCGTAATCAGTAAAGGTTTTACGTACGCTGTTCAGGGTAAAAAAAATACGAGATGGTTTTTGAGGTGTGCACACGGTATGATAAACTAGTTGATGCATCCGCAACGACGCGTTGTCAGTTAGACGGAAGCTTTTTAGGGCGGTGTTTTTGACTAGTTTAAGCTTGTTCGCGCTGTCAATTTAAAAAAGATTGGAGAAACGTGGGAACATACAATTGTCAGGGAACGTGGAAAATTGAGTGTTTAATACTTTATTTAATCTCTTATGAGATTTAAACTTTTTGTCTTTGTCGATTCATTGTGGATACAAAATACAAATTTTCGTTGTCTCCATTGGATATTCATGAAACCTTCACGAATAGATTTTTTTCGAATTCAGTTCTCAATGACACGTAACACTGACTGTACGTATTAAGCATTTCTAAGGGTATTTGCGTTAAAGCACGAAACTGTAGCTCCAATATCCGTATACGCGTAGAGTGTTTGGCATTCGTGGCGAATATTGTTCCGACTCGAGCCGGTAAACACACGCACATAGCAGACTGTATGTGTGTACGACACAATCGACAGGATGGAGTGGACTAGCGAGGTTGTTTTCCTTCTTTTTGTATCATTTCAAGCTGAGCTATCTGTATGGAGTTTTTCCGGCAGATAATCCTGCAAATAGCAAAAGAAATTCAAGAAGAATTTAATTTTTATTTCTTTTTTTTCATCCCTAGCAAACAGCCATTGATCACGTTTGCAATCCGGGGAAATATTTTTTATGTACAAAAGATAAGTAAAAAATTATAATACAGTTTTTTATGTTTTTTTTTATTTGAACTATTTTGGAGTGTAGGTGATATTGGTAGATAGGTTTCTCTGAAATTCCGGGATTTTGACATTCAATCTGGATTCTGTACAGCAACTTCAATTCCTGGACGGTTGGTAACCCTATTGACAATCCTCTTATGAAAATATATACCTGAAGAATGTGAAAATAAAAATTTTTTTAAGGTGTTGGTTCCATTAGTAGGGATAGGCTGTGTACCTGGGAGCTGGTTCGAAATAAGAAAATGTAAATTTTAATTTCCTCCATTGTCCAATTTCTAACCATAAAGAGCTCCGAATAACATCTACCACCTATAGACGCTTTTCACTTCAGCTCTAAGAGATTAACGAAGCAGCCATTTGTTCCGTGTGATTTATAGACCCGTCCGACGTGATTCGCGATCCTTTCGATTAAACTATGCAGTGTACGAATGAATCAGCGAAGGTCCCCGCCGCGAGTATCACCGTTCGATACGTGAATCATCGTCGGTAATTCGCTCGAGGGAAAAAAAAAATTGCGATCGTAATACGGACGGCTCGGTCGTCAACGTATTACCGTCACCGTCGACGTTAAACGTCAACATTTCGAATCGATCGAGCACGTATCACTCTCGATATTGAATGTCGTGACCCGGTCGCTTTTCACTTCTGCTCTACGTATGTTTACGCACGTGTGGCCACACCACACTCGCCCGTAAGTTCCCCCCCGTGGAAACGTAACAGTCGCCGTTCCGTGGTCTCGCGTGCTTGTCGAACAACTCTAGTAAAAACGGTCCATTAACCGTTACAATATGTCGCGAATTAGACGTTATCTGTCGCCACAATTGCCCGAGTTATACGGACAAGAGGTTCGTTTAGAATATTCTGAACCTCATGGGACCTATACCTAAGCCAGACGTATAACACCTGTTATAGGGAAAAGCCAACCGGTTGTGTCGGCTGTTTCGACCGGTCCTAACCTAAAATAACACTGTTCTCAATTCAGAACCGAAGATATCTATACTCGATATTTAATTTCGAGTTACGAGGAAAAAATTTCCGTATGGTATTGTGGATATACGTGAATGACTATACTTGGTACCTAATTCAAATTTATGGGATAAAAGATCTTCGTGTAATATTAGTATTACCTGGTTCGAAATTAGAAGATTGAAGATTCCATGTAATATTTTCTGTGGGCCTTCAGGACTGTATCTATTGCCTAATAAGGACTTACAAGATAATAATTTCATGAGGGAACTAGTATTATTCTATCGCTTATATTATAGTGTCATTTATCAGGCAATTGCTGTACCGGCCCCTGGGATTCGTTTTCCTAACGGAACCGAAATTTCGGGCTTTAATTAGTACTGATAGGTGTCACTAAAACTTCGAGAATACCGTTATGCCAACATAAACTCAGCTCTCCAGGGACCATGTCGTCAATGATTCCGGAGCATTCCAGAAGGAACATTTTAAATTATGATTTTAAATTATGATTTAAAATGTTCTGAATTTCAAATATTTTCAAATATATAATTATTTATATAAATATAATTATTTCATAAATATTTTCAATAATAATTCAATATATGTATACAAATTTTTGGCAAAAAAGACCATGTTTTTTATGAAAAAAAGCCGACAGTTTAAAGGTTAATTGCATACCTCTGCACACAGAGAAGGCACGTGACGATCATGGCAGTCACGTGCTCGTGTTCACGAATACCTAAGTTCGCTTTAATTCCTTTTCACCGTAAATCGAACGATTTCCTTGTAGATATTTCACTCTGTAATCGTTAAGACCGTATACCGTTTTTCGTCCAAGCTCGTAACTACGGTGTCTCGTTGTCAGGTCGTTGTTTCTTGTTCTTCACGAGTTCGCTTTTCACGGTTGATTGACTAACCGTGCAGTCTCGTTTCGGAGAACGTTTTTTAAATCATCGATTCCCTGTTCGTTCGACAAGAGTTAATTTATCGTGGATACGAGAGTTTTGCAATGTTTTTGCAATATCGGAGATAGAGATTTTAGCGGTTATTTAACGAAGGAAACGTTTTTAATAAGCTTTGGCGATATCGAGGAATTGGTATCGAACCTTTGCAGGTTAACGATGTATCAGAGTATTGGAATGGGATATTTTGTTATTACCTTTTTTTCTCCGCAGTTAATCGTGATGAATTTATGAAAATTGATGTAGGAGCTCCTGGTTTTATTGTTTCTGATACTTTCAGGTTTAAACAAATAGTTTAAGGCGAGCGGTTAAGTTGCTAGAACATACCTGGAATATCCAAATTATCTTCAATGACCACAATTTATAATCCAACAAATTTTCATCGTGAAAATTTAACAAACTAATTTTGTTACTACAGTAACTATGTCTTAATGTTACATTAAGCTATCAAGGTCTGCTCCTTTTGTGTTGTACAGAAAGATTGTAGATTATCTTTGTAGATTATAAAAGAGACCGTAAAAACTAACGACTTAGAAGTTAATCTCACCTGTGTCAGTCAGAATTTACAATTTGTACAGAACACGAGGACTGGACGAGATTTAAAGGAATTATATTTAACCCGCTAATTGCGTCTGTCCGCTACAGTAGATGTCTACTTTATCACTTTCAACAACATCTGGACTATTTCTCGACGATCAGCATTACGAAACTTCTTTAAATGACCTCGAAACATTAAAAAACCATTATTATTGTTACTGCTAGTTGTACATTCATCGTGAGCAAATAAAAAAAAATATTTTTTAAATATTTGAAATAGTCTTCAAAAGACCATTGGTTCTTCATTGTATGAAAAAAATATTTTTTTACAAGATATTAAAAAGATACAGCATACATTATTACAGATTACAAGATATTAAAAGATGAGCGGGTTAACTCCTTGAGTTCAATTTCATCCAAATAAGATTCACGATTCACGAGTCACACGCTGTCTTTTCGGTATACCACATTCATTTCTGACGCAACCAGCGCGTTTAAGCCAGCAGGATACGAATTATAAGCAACGATGCGACGATGGTGCTCAGGAGTGCGAGATGAGAATCCCCTCGGAAACAATGACCTTGCTCAAGTACAAGGGAGATGGCGAAATTGCTCCCTTCCGCCGGCATTGTCGAGAAAGTCTTCAATTATCTTATTGATCGCGTTACTGGTGTGCGGAACGCGCAACCCCTTCCGACGTATCCCGCACGGAGCAGACGTGCCCGCCTGCGAAAACCGCACGCGGCCGAAAGGGCACGTTCGAGGGGACCACCCCTGAGCGACGCTCCGGGTGGCGTGTGGGCCCGCGATGCGACAGCTTTTAGCCTAATCGACGTTCCCTCGAATCCTGGAGGCGCACGAAATTTTCATTCGTGTGAAACGAGGTAGAAGGTATGGAAGAGATGGAGGTGTTAATTCGAAATGTTTATTCAGTGGAATTTACTTTATAGAGGGTGGAATCAGGGACTTCTACCGAAACGTAAAGTACCGGTATTTTCGGTTGAAACTTCGCCTTATATAATTCTACATAAGCCCTGCCCTTATAGAAATCGAAAAACCACCGGTATTTATTTCGGTTTATTCAGTCGAATTTACTTTATGAAGGGTGGAATCAGGGACTTCTACCGAAACGTAAAGTACCGGTATTTTCGGTTGAAACTTCGCCTTATATAATTCTACATAAGCCCTGCCCTTATAGAAATCGAAAGACCACCGGTATTTATTTCGGTTTATTCAGTCGAATTTACTTTATGAAGGGTGGAATCAGGGACTTCTACCGAAACGTAAAGTACCGGTA